AGGCGAGCCAAGATGTCAGTGACTGTCAGCGAAGTCTGCTAAGGGAGGGAGAGACCTGTGCGTGCCTGCGCTCCCACAGACAGCCGGGGAGGATCTGTTGTAGCCACGATTCAAAACAGCAGCAGCAGCAGCAGCAACAACAACAGATTGCTCCCCTCCTCTTGCTCCCTCCCCTTCGACCCCGCTTTAAACCCAAGCAAGTGACCGACCGTCCAGACCATGCAGATGACGATGCTCTCGCTGAGCCACTGACAAAGAAAAGGCAAGTCACCCATTCCTGAAACCAGGATAACTGCCCGCCTGCAAGCGGGAGATCTCTAGCTGTTGAACTTTTCTGTCCTGTGATGATGCCGTGGTGAGCCTGCTGATCTGAAAGAAAGACATCTCTTCTGCATCCTGAGCTGGCCAGACTGAAAGAGATTAATGGACTGATCAGCCGTAGCTGTCAGGTCTCTCCTGGGGGACACATCCCTTCAGCCCCCATCACTCGGGTGCTTGTGGCGAGGGGAGCGGGACTTCTTTGTGAGGGTGGGTCACTGGCGCTCTCCCCTTGGAGGTGGAAGGCTGTGTTTCTCCTCTGCAGAGCAGAAGAGGCAGATGAGACTCCAGGACTGCCTCCAGGGCAGAACTTTGTAGGGCTCTCAGCATCCCTCCGCAGCGTGGATGTGAGCCACAGGAGTTGGGGATGTTTGAGGCAGCCTTTGCCAAGTGACACCCAGCAGCTGCTCCAGAGGCTTTTGCGTGGTCTCTCGCTCAAGGGCTTTGCCTGTTGTGAAGATGTCCATGGTGTTTCTGTGAAGCTGAGGTATGGCTGCTGGAAGGTTACTGCTGTATGCTGGCCTCTCTTTAGCTCTGTGTGCCCTGGGCATGCTGGCTGTGGCGATCTGCTCTGACCATTGGTATGAAACTGATGCCAGGAAGCACAGAGAGAGGTGCAAGAGCATCACCACTAAGAGAAATGATCCTGGCTTCATTTATAACTCCAACAACAACCTGCCTCTCAGGGCCAGCAGGTCTAGGTTGGACCGTTGGGAAGGGAAACTCCTCTTGGCAAGAAACAGGAGGCAGATCTTTGCTATGAGCGCAGTCGATGAGTGCAACAGACAGTACAACTCGACCAACATGGGGCTTTGGAGGAAATGCCACCGACAAGGGTTTGACCAAGAGCTGGAGGAGCTGATTGCCAAAGGTAAGGGCTGGGTTTTTTTACCGAATGAATGTGCCAGCCCCTCCTGAGCTGAGCAGAGGCTGAGCAGAGCCATTTGGGCTCGCAAATGGGAGCTGGCATCTCTAGCCAAGTACCTCTCCTTGTGGTGGGTGAACTGGCCTGGCTGGGCATCACTTCCCGAAGCACTGCTAGGCCAGATTCCCATGGGTTCCCTATTGCTGAGATGTGGGGTTTGGGAGCAAGAAGGCAGTGGGGGTGAGAGCAGACACACCCCAGAATGTCTGTCTCATGTGTCTGCCTCTCTAAGCTTAATACAATCTGCCCATCACCATGGTACCAGATTATTTTCCCCATACAAATCAAAAGTATTAATAAAACAGGCATTGGATTATTGTTTTTTTTAAATTTTGTTTGAACCTGATGACTCAGGCAAAGTACGTATTATTTTATTGGAGGCTACATATGTCTGTATTTCATCCTTCCCTTAACTGAATGCTCCATCAGTCCCAAAATTCACCATTTGCAGTGCTCACATGTAGGCTTTTTCTATCCTCAAATGGAGAGTAAACAAAGAGAAATGCTAAAGAGCAGGAGGAAACCCAGCTTGCTGTTTACACTGAGCTATGTTTTGGAATATTTTCAATGTCTACAAAACATTACATGAATTTATTAGGAGTGTTAGAAAGGAATAAATTTCTCTTGGGGTGGAGATACATCTGTTTGCCTGTAGCATTTTTGTGCTATATTTCTTCTTGTCTTTTGGTCCTCTTTCTCGTTTTTTCCCCCAAGGTACCAGTTCAAGGTGATGGTCAGTTTGCCTCCAATGTTTCTTTAAGCCCAAGTATGGGAAGGAGAGATATGCATAAAACCCAGCTTAAACATCCTGCCGATGAAAGATGTGTGTTTTTGTGGGATGCTGAGGGTTTCAGTAAAGGATGACAGCATCTTTGCTACCCACAGCATGGTTACTCCATACAACAACATAACATTTCCCTCCCATGGTTCTTCTGTCGCTTTCAGATGATTCCCCACTAGTTTATTTCCATTGCAATGAAATCAGTACTTCTTATACTGTGCACCATTTAAAAATATTTGTTTTCTAAGTGTGTTCTCTGTCCCAAACTCCCCTGATAGCTTGTGCTAATTCCCTCTTCAGACATTGCAGGCGGAATTATTGCTCAAAGCTAATTATTCATGAGGGATATACTCTCACATGTGTTAGCCAATGTATACAATTTGTTCCATATGTTTTAAAAGTGAGCAGTAGAGGTGAGTAGCAGGGTATAGACTTGCACTGAAACAGTACAAACAGGTGGTGCACCAGGGAACTTAAATCTCTAGTTGGGATCCTGACTGTGTTACTAGTCACCTTTAATGTCTAGTTGCTATTTAATGACCTTTATGGAGAGAATTGGTGGCTCTGGTCCCATTCGTAATGGACAAGCAAACGTGTCCAAAGCCTGGCAGCATCCTGGCACCCTGCTGCTGGTTTCAGTGCCGAGAGAGGGATTCCTCCTCTCTGTCTAGGTGAGGGTACGGACATGCTGGGCTGGCTGCAGAGGGTTGGATTGCTCTGCCACGTGTGCTCGCTGTGCTCGGGGCATAAACAAAGAACTTCAACCTTGATAGCGGGCAAACATGTCACCAGAGCTCACCTTTGCAAATGGAGTTTCAGTTGTTAGAGAGGTTTTGCATCTTGAAATAAGCGAGACTCTTTCACTGCCTGCCTTGTCCTAGGTTCAGGAACATCCTCTTCTCCTGCCAGAAATTGCTGAAATTGCCTGGCACTGTGTTAGTGTAGCAGCAGCTCTGATAAGTGTTAACCATAGGGAAAATGTGGCAACTCAGGCTGAGGTGGTTAAATGCAGGAGGAGATAGTCTTCCAAAGATCCTGCTGTAATCACGGAATCACAGAACTTTTAGGGTTGGAATGGTCCTCTGGAGATCATCTAGTCGACCCCCCCCGCTAAGGCAGGGCCTTCTGTGTGTGTTCATATTATGTGTGTGAATGAGTGTGTGTGTAGTGAATTAACTCTAAATATACAGCACCGAGCTGGTAGGAAGGGATTCCCAGGCTCAGGTACAGCGTGCCTTCCTGCACACGTATTCCTGGACATGTGTGCCTGCAGATGAACAGGTAGCCACTTCATGGAGTAGCTGCCCCAAGATCAGAAATGCAGATTGTGCACGTGGAGGATGTATGTGTAAATATCAGTGTGTGTGTCATCACTCCTTGCCTTCTTTGAAGGTGTTTTGGTACACATTTAACAAACTTCATTGTACCTTGAGAGAAATGCTAAAGGAGGGAGACTCATAACACTGAATACCAATACTGTAGTTCGTTTGATGGTCTTTTTGGAGTGAGGATCTATCTATACTGTAACTGTCAGCCATGATGAAGAGTCACACACAGTAACACTAATGCTATAGAAGTGTTTTCCACTGGCATCTCCAGATTAAAACACAGAAAGCAACTATAATGGCAATTTGATAAAAATAAAGTGTTTGAGTTGCTCAGAAATAAAACTGGACATACAGGATTGCTTGCCCACTTTACATTCTGTCAGATTGAAAGGAACTAATGGATTTTACTCTCTCCTTACTAAAAAGTAATGCAAAACACTTGTGTGTTAAAAATCCTCGTATGTTGGAATGATTGAATTAGAAGGAGCCAGCTTTACATGGGTAGTCAACTAGTGGCCCTATTCCCACCTATGGCTGCTACTAGACTGTTTCTTTATGAACCTCAGATGTATAGTGAAGTGGAATAAGTACATTTGCGATCACTGCCCGATGTTGAGAACAGCTGTGAGTTCAGAATGAGGCATGTATTCTAGGTTCACCCCAACAACATCACCTTGCTTTTCTGTATTTTTCTTCCATGGAGTTGAGAGGTTGCAGGGCAGAGCACTGAGCAGAGCATGCCCTGAGCAGATGTGAAGACCTGCAGATGTTCCCTACCTGTAGTAATCAAATACCCGGACTGGGGTACATATTGCTGCACAGATGAAATCTCTCTTTTTATGAGCTCCAGGGCAAATACCATATAAAAGAGGATGTTACTGGTACATAGGCCTTTTACTCTCCTTCTTCTGCCAACTGTTAATTTAATCTAGCACACCTCTTCCGGAACTGGACAAGCTAATGCGGGTTCTGGCCCCAAATATTGTGTATAATGCTATATGTAATTGAATGTAAATGCTATTAAGATTTATTTATTTTTATTTTTTTTTTAACCTGGACAGGATCTAAGTGATCCATTTCTTTTGAGACATATCCTACATTTTTCCCAAGGCAAATACTTCCAGTATTGAGAATGGTAAGTTTGTCTATCAAAGGATAACAGAAAGTGGTCATTAAGAGCCTAGCTAGCTTTGCTAGTACCCTGCAGTTATTATGCTTATGAACTCTGCTGAAATTAATACAAGCTGTAGGCAATGGCTTGTGGCAGGATCAGGCCCTTTGGTACTCAGCAGTATTCTGATGCCAGTGGTTTGAAAAGCGGTTCTCTTTCTGAATAGGCTGGGTCACTTCTGCAATTCTATTCTGTGTTTATTGGTTTTTACGTTCTAGAAATAAATGAAAGCCTTTATGTTGGATTTTGCTAGGAAAATGAGAGATATGTCACTTCAGATTCCTTATGGATAGATATAATAGACACTAGTGCACATATAAAGTGGTCCTATTTATATTTTGCATATCCTTTTTTTTTTTTTAAATATTCCCATAGAACCCAGAAGCATATTTCAAAATAATGCAATTAGGTAAATAGGCAATGAATTAAGCCAGATTGTCACAAGTAAGCATACTCAGGGAGAGGCAGGCAGGCATGAGACCAGAGGCCTGAAGAACATTCTAAAGCTGCATCAAAATCAGGCAGTTAATCTCTTCTCTTTGTTATCATGAATGAAAAAAAAAAATCAAACCAGAATCAACAGAAATTACAGTCATTAAAGCAATTACTGGAGTTGAACGTTCAAACCCTGGGCCCTGTCTTGCTAACTTTTACTCACCTGAATAGTCTTTATTCCTGTAAATGGGCTACTTGAACTGAGGAAAAGCACCAAATCAAAAAGAAAGAGCTTACAAAGCTGATCCTTTGATTCTGCTTTCACACCTGATCAAGTCTTTTAGCATCTTGGGACTGGAGTTTCTCTCTTGATCCCTAAGACCTTGCAGAGTCGGGAAATGCTGGCTCTGGATTTGCTTAGTACAATACTCTGAGCTTCTTCAAATTCTCAGGTGTCTGTCCAGTCTCCTCCATGAATTAAAATAGCCCTTGCTGCTTAAGACCCCTTTGAATATACTGTTCCCTATACCCTATTAGATCCACTGTTTGCCTGTTCACCACTGAGTTTCTCACAAAAGTGGCATTCCCTCACACTACCAAAAAATCCCAGTGACCCAGCCACCTCCACCATGAAGCAAGCAGAGAGCTGAGATGCAGGTAAGTGTCCACTGGCTGGGAGAAGGCAGACTTTATGTATGTCCTGCTTTGACAACCAGTGGTTCACAACTCCTTGTATACGACTTGTAGTGACCCAGAAAAAAACCTGGAAGCCACAGAGTCTGTCTGCATCCTATGGCAATGTTGCTCAGATGCTTTCCTGCGCTAGTTGAGAGGAAAATAAGAAAGGAAGAAAAGGATTTACATCATTTAATTATAAAGGTACAATAAAGTAGATGAAGAAGTTGCACAGTAACCCAAGTCTATTCCATTTAGACAATTACTACTCAGAGGACCTTTCATCTCGCTTTTGGAAGGCTGCCAGTTAAACCTGTCTGGGTCTGGATGGGGCTCTGCTGCCTGCCATTGGAATCCAATTTTATTAAATAATAAAAAAAAATATCAGTGACCTTATTACTTCAATCCCTCTTCTTTCCTTCCTAAGATCCACAGAAATCACAGTAAATCCCATTTTTAAAATATTTTATTGTGAGTATACTCAGCCCATGTCACCATTGGGGGAATAAAAAAGGCAAGTAATTCCTGTGCAGCCTACCTCCACCCCAAATAATAT